CTCTTGTCCTAAAGTGCAACGAAATCAAGCCTCGCGGTCACAAAGGGGGAACGGATTGTTTTTTCCGCCTGCCGATTGGCCGCACATGGATAACCTAGCTAAACCCCCCCAAAACGAGTACTTTTTCTTTGCCCGCCAATGGGTTGGTCGAAAGGAGCGCCAAAGACAATCCGCCACTTTTGGGGATCCCCTATTTTGACACACACACACACACAGATGAACCTTCTTTTTCCAGTGGAATTCTTCGGTTTCACGGTCCCTTGCAGGTGTGGGCTGCGCATCACGGGGCATTTGCAGGCCGAGCTGGCGCCGCGTCGACAAGTCGCGTCGGCTGCGCTTCGTTGGGGCTGGGAGGTGCTCCAAATTGGGGACGCCTTCAGGCGGTTGTTGTCCTTTTCTTCCATTCGGCTCACAAGTTTTTATTTTTATTTTTTTTCATATTTGTTTCTTCCTTTTTAAGAAAATAATAAAACTCGTAATAATAATCATATATTTTCCCTGGATGGTTTTAAAGGGACATCTATCACTACTGGAAACATAAACCATATTCTTTCCAGGAGGCTTAAGCAAATGGACGTGTTGGATTCCGCTTCAAGCCATCCAACAAGAGACCCATCATTTGAGCCAGATGGGAACCCAGTTGATACACTAATTGGGCGATTTTGACCTTTTGAGGGGGCAACGGTGCCAATTGAAGAGGGGGAACCCTAGGTTGATCAATCCGGGGGCATTGCGAGGATGTCCCTCTTCAGAGAACGTCCGAAATGATGAATAAATAGAGTTGATTATATTCTCATACGTATATTATACTATATGTATATTGAATAATCTGGTTGGCCCCTTCTGAATGGGTGTTAAATGGGGTCGCTTTGCAAACCAAGAAGAGCGGCTCGCGTAATTGGTCCGGGGTTCACATGAGCGATCAAGTTGTTGTCGTGTACGGCAGTATATAAAGTACGCGGGGTAGGCTCAACAGGCCGCATTTGCAATTTGTAGGTTGTACACGGGCCTGTGACAGAAATCCAAACCAAACATCAGAGGAGTACACCCTCCTGGTATTCTGAGGACAACACCTGACTAGCAACATGATCGGTACTGTTGGTTTGGGACGAGTACAATCCAATTCCAAGCAGAAATCAGGGAACCTGTTCCCATGATCTTTCCGGGAGAGAGGAGTAAATTCTGCCGTGGCTATGCAGGGCTGGTTCCCGCGATTCTGTGATAGCGAAGCTTCGTCTAAAGAATGGTCGCTGGTGTCGCAGAAGTGGTTGCAGTTCCCACAACCTGATAGCACGTGTTCGGAAGTCTAGGGGTACAGTCACAGTCCTGCAACTTGACTGTCTGGATATCCTGTACTTTTGTGTTTGGTTCACTTGCATACGCCATAATCTTCCAAGCTGGCTACGGTATGCGCCGGAGCCTTGCGTCAGTGTCACTGCCAATGATTCAGTGTCGCAGCAAGGCATGCCCCAGGTGGGGCCGAATGACTCTGTGTCGCAGCAAGGCATGCCTAATGTGGGGCCGAATGACTCAGTGTCACAGCAGTGCCTGGAGAGGGACTTGGCAAGTTGTGACCTACGTGATTGGCAAATCTCGCGACAGCCTGTGCAGCCGATGCCAAAGAGCAAGGCAAAGGGGCCGCCTGCCCTGCGCACGCTGCAAGTGACTGGCTCAGCTGCCGTGCAGCAATGGAAGAGACAGCGGGCTCAGGAATCAGCACAGGACCTAGTGTCTCCCTGATTCCTGGACTCTAAACATTTCGGGTTTGGACTGACTTTTCGTGGTTTTTTCCAGCTCATTTTGGTGTCGTCTTCTGGCCAGTCCACTCACGTAAGATTTTGCCAGGCGAAACAGCCAGGAAGCCCCTCCCACCAATGAACAACCGGAACCCTGACCTTCGGGGTTCCCGTCAGGGGAAAATGGTCCAAACCACCCCCCGAAACGTCAGGGTCCATGTTCATTGGTGGGAGTTTCCACCGGTGTTTGGTCCGAACCCATGTCAACATAGGTGTCCTTTTTGGTTGTTTCGGTTGAACAATAGATAGGCCTGGTTTACCCAGTGGTTTAGTCATCTACCAGGGCCATGTATTCCCCCCCAAAGGACGCCAATGCATGTCAATTGTTGGGAGGGTAACCCCGCAGCGGTTCAACCGGTTTTTGTCCGAAGCCCAGTGCGAGTGGTTCGGCCTGGCCTCGACGCCAGGAAGGGCAACGCCCAGCCACATCGGAGGAAGGCCGGGAGGAAGCTTGCAAGAGGGGAGGGTTTCTCGCTGACCTATGAAGTTATTGGGTTTTACGATTCGGGTCTGTGGTTGGTTTATAGGGGCGCCGAAGGGAAACCACTTGCTTTGGATTTCCCTCATCTCGAGACAAGCCCGAATCAAGATTGTTACTGTGGATGGTTGCGTCATCCGCTTCTCGCGCCACCGATCAGAAACCCTGGTTTCTGTTGATTCCCCCTATAAATACCAACCATCAATGGTTGGCCATGGTTTCCGAGTGGGGCGAAATGGATGTCGTCCATCCACACTATACACTATGAGGTCCTTGGGCTTCCTGATTTGAGCCTGTCGATCTTTTGAAGGGTATCTGTTTTTTGTTGGTGGTTTTGAGGGCAGGCCAATAGGGAAACCATTATTTTTTGGGGGGTCCCCCCTGAGTTTGTTTTTTTGGTGAAGTCTAGCAATGAGCCTAGCAACTTGGCTTTGTTTTTCAAGCATCACTCAATTTTGCATCGGATGTTTGGATACCCTTGATTTGTTCACTGGCTGGCTGGCTGGCTGGCTTGTTGCTTGGTTGCTTGGTTGCTTGGTTGCTTGGTTGCTTGGTTGCTTGGTTGCTTGGTTGCTTGGTTGGTTGGTTGGTTGGTTGGTTGGTTGGTTGTTGGTTGGTTGGTTGGTTGGTTGGTTGCTTGCTTGCTTGCTTGCTTGCTTGCTTGCTTGGTCGGTTGGTAGCGACGTAAAGACCTCTTCAGGTGGCGGCAGCAGCGCCGAAAACGAGTCCGGCACGGAGACGGCCGACGATCCCTCAGGCTCGGCGTCCCAGAGAGGCCTCCGAGGCATCGAAGAAAAGTCGACGGGGTTGGGACGGAGCTGTTAACTTGGTGGCAAGCGCAGCCATCCGGTTCCTTAACCTTTTAGCATTTTAGTGTTTAGCTGTAGTTTCCATTTAACCCACTAAAAGGTAAGCTTCCAGTGGGGGATCAAAAAACGGGCAGCCCAGTTAAAGCAGGCCAAGGAGCCGAAAGGAGTTCAAGCATGGAACCTGACACCCACCAGTTAACATGGAACCTGACGTTTGATGGGGGGTCCTGGTTTGGACCGTTTTTCTTTTCAAGGTATCCCCGAAGGTCAGGTTCCTGTTGTTAATTGGTGGGAGTGTATTTGTTTGAACAACATGTGACCGTTTAGACCGGTTGAATCGCCCCAACCTTACAATGCACGGTGACCTTCGGTGTCGAGGCCGCACAAGAAAGAGTGACACATGTGCACGCCCCTACGGCTCTTTCTATTTTTGAGTGGTCAATTTGGTCGGAAACGACAAGTTCCCGTTCTGGAGCTTGAGTGACGGATCACTGGGTTCCAACAGACCTCATATGCGGAAAGAAGGGGCAGGCAAAACGAGGCTCGGGTCTTTCAACGACTTGCCGAGGCACCTCCTCGGACCTCGCGGAGACGCAGGCGCGGTGGATGTTGAGTATTTTATCTTTAAAGACGCCTGGATTCACGGAAGGAAATGCCCCAAGTGGGTCGGTTGTTTTCGTGTGTAATGCTTTTTTGGTTGTTTTAAAGGGAAGCCAAAAAGGAGCGCGATTTTTTGGGTACCCCTTGTTCGGTTGTTTTAAAGGGAAGCCAGAAAGGAACGCCCACCATTTTCGGAGCCCTCTCAGAAAGACACACCCAACTGAGGGCGCGATTTTTTTGAGTCCTTCACCAAGCCTTCGAATGGTAGCCTCACTGTACCCAAATTTAATCTTTGGTTGCACGGAACCACAAAAGGGCAACCTCACCATTGGGCGGGGTCTCTAAAGATGCATGCACACACCAAACGGATTTTCACGCAATTTGTGTGGTTGCGCTATTTTGTAGGCAAATTTCAGTCTCTATAAAAGATGCACACTGCCAAAGGACGAGCCCAAGCGAACATTTTTCAAGTTGTGTGGTTGCCCTAGTTTGTACGTGGGAAACCCCCGCTGAGCTGCCGGGCTAGTTCGACCCCAGACGAGTTGGTTTTTGTTTCCAGAGCATCTGTGCTGGGCCTTTGTCTTCCATTTGGTTAAGCATATTGTTTAGTTCCCCCTGGAATCTATCACTACTGAGAATATGCTTTTTTTTTTTTTTCAGGGGACTTCAGCAAGTGGAGGTTGTGGCTGGGCCTTTTTTAGGCCATGACGCCTTGGGTTATGGTTGATTTTATTGCTGGTGCGATAGGGAATGAGAAATGGAATGACCCTGAAATAAACCATCCAGGTGGTTTCCTTTAAGGGGACCAAAGCCTGGGTTCATTCAACCACATTTCCTACCTATCGCAGCCGCATGTATTCTGTTCTTCTGGTTGGCCAGTTGCCTCTGCTAAACCCATGGGAGGCGAAGTGCCAGGTGTCCGGCGCGCTCTGGGTTGAAAGGGGAGCCGAAGGGAAGAAATCCATGGTGCTTCCCTTGACAAACCCAACAGACTGTGGATGGTTGCGAAATTTTATGTCCCACGACATGAAGCCATGGTTGAAACCATAACGTTTATTGGTATGTACAGGGGAAACGAATCGTTCCAAGGTTTCTGAACGGGGGTGCGAACGGATGTCGTCCATCCATTGGATTTGGGGTCCTTTTCCAGCGCCCCATTTCCTTCTTGACCTGCGGCCATCAATGGAATCCACCGTACTCGCCTCAATGGTTCGGGGTGGTGACTGCTGGCACTGCCTGCCCGCCCCTTGGGCCCTGCAGATACTTTTGGTTGAGACCCCAAAAGCAGGTCGTTGCAAGGGGCTCCACGGGCTTCTTGTTACATCCTCTTGACTTGTCGAAGCCTCTGAAGAGTCAGGAGACCAAGCATCTATCTACACGATCGAATCATGTTCTGGGTGTGTCTGTGTTGATGGCTCCTGTTTTCGAGTTGTGTTGAAGGGAAGCCAACGTGAAGCAACCCACAAGGACTTAACTTTAGCTTTTTGAGAGAACGATCACTCTACCACCACCCTGCAAACAGTTAAACTTAGTGGGCAGAGGGCAATAGCTAGCATGCCATTTAGAGACAAATGGATGTGGCTCAAAATTAAAGAGCCAGGGTTACGCAGGTTTTAGTCTTTGGTTCCATTTACCGAGGTGCCATTTTGGTACGTGTTTTTGAGCCATTGCCAAATCCTTGTAGAATCCACGTCTTCCCAGCGACTGGGCTTTCTGTCCGGAACAGAAAGCCACAGGAGATGTGCGTGGACTGGTCTCCGTGGGCGCCGGCGCGTTTGATGCTGGTGCGATTGGTTCTTGTCGCAGGAGTTGGAGTTTTCTTGCACGACTTCTAGCTAGGTCTCCCAGTAGTGCCCTTCTCTCCCCTTTTTTTGGGGGAGGGTTCCCCTACTAAAATAGACTGCAGAAAAAAAATGGTACCCTTATTCTAACCTCCCTACTGGAGGACCTAGCTAGAATTCATGAGCCTCCCCTGATTTAGACCCCTAGTTTGTGGCTTGTTTGGGGATGAAAGCGATTGAAAAAAAGCAGAGCGTGGGGCGAAACTTGGCTGTTGGGGCTGAATCTCCAGCTTCCTCCCCTGCGTGAAACTCAACAGGAGGTTTCAGGTTGTTTCAGCAAAAGTGTTGACATATTTTTCAGTTGCTGGCCTGATGTCTGTAATGCCGACCCCATATTCATCAACCCCAGTTTATTCATAGGACTTTTGGAGGGGCCCCCACCCCCCCTATTTATAAACTGGGCTTGATTAAACTTGGTGGCTCCCAGCCATCCCTTTGGCTTTTTAGCTTTTTAGTCTTTAGTGGGGATTTCCATTTAACCCACTAAAAGTTAAACTTTTAACAGGAGATCTGAGGCCAACCGAGTAAAATGGGTTCAGCGTTAAGCAGCTTCAGCAGTGCAAACGTGCGTTTGGGGTTGGCCCAGGGCCCCAAGGTGCCGCCCACCAGTTCTGGGCTAAAGATCGAAGCAGAAGCTTACCAGCGAATTGACACACAGACAGAGAACATCCAACAAACGCAACCTGGTATGTTGTTTATCAACCATTTTTGTTGGGTTTCATCCATCCCAAGTTCAGCATTTTGTCCATCTCGCTGCACCAGGGAGATGTGGATGATGTTCCGCACTTCCAAGCATGGCATTTTTGAAATGAGGACACACCGCTTTTGGACGCTCTGGTATAGCTCCTCCAACTTTGGAAAGTCGAATTCTGTTCGTGGAGAGGGCTATGCATGCGCTATCAAATACTGAGCTTCCCTAAGAAACACGCTCTGAATCAAGCTGCCCACCTGTACATGACCACCTGACAGACATCCTTTGTTGAATTATGGTCTTGTTTGTTGGTTGATTCGGTTGGGTTGGCTTGTTTGTTTGTTTCTTTGTTGGTCGATTAGTTGGTTGATTGAATTGCTTTTAGCTTTCGCTTGCCATACCGGGTTCTGCGGAGAAAAAACAAAAAAAACAAATAGAAACGCCCATCCCCCCAAATCCATTGTGACAACAGATGCTGACCCCCTTACCCCCCAACTTCAAAGTTGGATGTGGCCCGTAGTAACGAAGCCTGCGGAAAAAAATACACCCATTCTGGCTTCAGACATCACAGCATTCCTTAACAACATTGAAGTTGGCGCGCGGGGGGGGCAAGAGGCAGAGAATTGGCTGAGAGTAGTTGTTGTTTTTTTCCTTTTTTTTCCTCGCAGAACCCGGCAGCGATAGAAGCCCACGCGCATCTTGCGGCAAAGCTAGGAAGGTCGCCTCATGTCGACAGATTCATCGCATCCTGGCGGATTTCTCCGAGTTTTCCGCCAAAAAACGCTTTGGGGTCTCCAAGATGGGATCTCTGTGAGCGGTGGCTTCCTTGGATCGCATGGGCCAAAATGGGCATCAAAGATTGCGGGCTTTCCTTACCAATCTAGAACGGAGTGATGTGAACCCCGGATCAATAAACCCTTGGTTGATTAATAGGGGGTGTCCCCTTTTAGTGGGGATTCAGACCACTTTTGGAGGGAACACCCCCCTCGAAAAATGGGACGGGTGTATTACTCCTGGGTCAACATTACCGAGCCCGAACTCACAAAGCCGGGTTCCGAAGCGCCAGGTGGATTCTCAAAGCCCAAGAGAAGCAGGTGGCCAGGGCTCGTTCGCAGATGGCAACTCCACAAGGGACCCCCCCCCCAAAAAGAGTCAGCAACGAGGTGGTGTTCCTTTGGCTTCGAAACGGGTAGCCTCGAAAACAAGCGAACCACACCCGCAGAATTGTCGTGCTGCGGGGCTTGAAAGCCAAAGTTTGATATGATCGCCGGAAGTAATCTTGTTAGCATCACTTAGGTTTCCATGTTGCCAACAAGCAGCAAGCAAGGCAGTGATGGCAAGGGGGGCGCGCTGTCAGACAAACACCTGAGAGCAACATGGTGATGAGGACATCATATAAGCTCAGCGCCTGAAGTGCCCTAAGCAGCCAAGACATAGCTCCTGGTGTGAGAGTTTGGGAATGGCAAGCTCGTTGGGCCACAAGTCCTTTTGGGAGAACGGGTGACCAACAAGGACTTAGGATGAGTTTGTGTATGCTTGGCAGCGGCCACATGCGCTAGCACACATGCGCTAGCACCAGCTTGGGCACGTAACTGCTTTTGCTTGGTCAGTGGGTGGGTGAGATTGGTTTGCAATGATGGCGGGTCCAGTGAGAAGTGGCGGAAGCTGGCTGAGAGGACAGCGCAGTCTTGGTGGAGCTCATCGCCGAGCCGGAGTCTGAGTAGAAGCTCCGCGCCAACTCTGGCAATGCCGGCGAGTACATCGGCATTTGGCTTGACCAGAGGTGGGAGAGCCAGTCACAGCGCCTCATTTGCGCACCACGAACAAGAAGCGCCTCCAAAGTGCTTGCGGCTGTCCCGGCCCTGTCGTTCGGTCGGTGGGTTTGTGTGGGTTGGATGGTTGGAAGGTTGGATGGTTGGATGGATGGATGGTTGGATGGTTGGTTGGTTGGTTGGATGGATGGATGGATGGTTGTTTGGTTGTTTGGTTGTTTGGTTGGCTGGTTGGTTGGTTGGTTGGTTCGGCATTCGAAGCGACCGGCGCCCACGCCCATGGCCTTGGGTGAAACCTGTTGGGACGGTTTGTGGATGGTTGCGCAATCCATTTCGCACCACCCAAGAAACCTTGGCTTCTGATGATTGGGAAATACCCACAAACGTTATGGTTTCACCTGGTTTCCCATGGGTGCAGGATTTCGTCCATCCACAGTGCTGGCGGCTTTAAGCCTTTCCAAGCTCTGCACAAATAGCGAGCTCGCCGAAGGAGTCGTAGGACTTTTTGACTTTAGACTGATTGCATGCAGTCTTTTTGGCTTTGATCTGCACAGTACCATCACCTACTGACTTGGTTCAATTCCGAAAAGCCCCCAAAGCGCCCGTTTATAGTATGGCCTGTATTAAAAAAAACTTTGTCAACACGTCAATGGGTTTTATACATATAGATATAGGTAGCGCCATCTTAGCAGAACCGACAATGGATGACGCGGCAAAACCTCCACAACCCTCCCCCAATCAGCATCCAGCTTGCTCTGGCAAGGTGCCGCGCCTGGACATCACCAGGCGCAAGTGGAGCAGGTGATTTTGTGTTGACATGGGTACCCTTCCTCCCACGTTGCCGTACTGTGCATGGTTGCGAAATCCATTTCGCACCACCTAAGAAGCCGCTCATGAATCAAGTGTAAATATCAACAAACAATGGTCTCCCAGGATTTCGTCCACAGTAGCACCTGTGGGGTGGTGCCTGGAGTTTTTTTCAATTTCCTCTTGAAGGGACCATTTCCCTGTCAGGTGCCACGAAAGTGAGAGGGAGGGTATTTGTTTTCGCAGGATGTGTATCAGTGTTTGGTCCTTTGGTTTGTGGCAACCTTTGGACAAAATCCATGCCGCTAGGCGCCAGTTGGATGAAGCCCGGATTTGAAAGCTGGGATCAACCCACCGGATTTTGTGCATCCACGGTTTTTTTTGCTCGCCCTCCACAACTCTGCACAATTTGCTCTATGGATCTCACCGATCCAGGGGTAGAACGAGCAATGCCATGACTTCAGGGTCCTGCACCTTATTTCCAGTTTGTGAGTCGGCCTGAACCAAGCCCATATCCCCGTCCCGGAGAAGAGGTGGGGCACTAGAAACCAAAACGCGATCTGGGCAAAACGCTTGAGCTCACCGTCCGGGGGGTTTTGCGACGTATTCCATGAAGGTCCCACATCTGTTGATTCCCTTGTTTGTTTGGGAACTATAGCGATCCCAAGGTGGCAAGTCTTTTCCTGAACCTTTTGGACATTGCCCCCTGCGTTTTCGCACTTTAATCAAAAGCGGAGAGATCTCCAGCGAAGGAAGGCTCTGCCATTTGCAGCGGCATGGTTCGGATCTTCCACCAATTCCACGTGGATGTCCAAGCTGTGGATTCCTGGTGAGTGACAGACAGATTCACCTGCGGGTTTGATCCAGGCGGGATCCAGTTACTCCTTTGGATTTCACCTTCGCCCGAACAAAAGGGGGTTTGGAGGTTCAGTCGGCTTAGAAAGTAGGGCTACACCAACGGTTGTATGTTTACCAACCTCTGTTGTCCCATTTAATTCATCGACCCTCAAAAAGGGCTATGGGGAGCGGGGGCTATCCCTCATCAACCCTATCCTTGGCTTATCCTAGGTTTATGTAGGGATAGCCCCCCCCTCCCATTGCCCCCCTTAGGGATCCAGGATCATTTGCAGCCTGGTTTCTGTGGGGTGAATCGCCCGAACGGCCGCCTCGCCTGTCCGATTTCCCAGGCGGCCAAAGTCGCCTAAGGCGGGACCCGTGGCGAATTTCGAAGGCACCAAGTGTGCCATGCTGAACACATCAAGGGGGGGGGGGCTTGGTGTGTGTGTGTGTGTGTTGTGTGGGGTGTGGTGTGTTTGTGTGGGGTGGTTTGGTGTGTTTGTGTGGGGTGTGGTGTGGTGAGAAGGCTCGGTCTTGCGTGTACTTCTACTTCCACTCCGAAGAACAAGCCTGCTGGCAGCACCTTTTATCCATTGATTCGGAGATTTGAAGGGACAAATGTCTGAAAGTCTACCATCAGCGAAGAAACCAAAGGCGCGGAGGATAGTTTTTTTGTTTTGTTTTTCTTTCTTTTTCTCACAGCAGAGCCCAGATCCTCGCGACCTTCTTTCCACTTCCATTTGGTTCATGTTTTGGTGCGACCTGGCAGAAGAGAGGAAGAGGGATCTCCCATGCAATGGGGTTCGGTTTCTTTTCTTCCGCATCCGCGAGAAAAACCCTGGGATTCCTTGGGCGTCAAGGCAAAGTGCCGGGGTTTTTCTCCATCCATCCCAAATGAAATGGCTGCGAGTTGAATGAAACCTCTGCCTGGTCCCCTGAGGCTTTGTTTCGCAGGGCGCGGAGTTCGATTCGATGCGCCTGACATGGATCCGGATCTCGAAGGGTGTTGTTTCTTGGGGCCTCCACTTGTCAGGCATCCCCTAGTTGGTTTGGATTGGTGGTTTGGATTGGTGGTTTGGAGTTGAACCAGGGTAAATGGAATTCTGTCCTCAACCACCACCGATCCAAACCACCTTTTTGGAGGGAAACGGAACTTGGAGAGGCGAGGCAGGGATTCGGACAAAGCCAGGGTTTCCCTTCTAGCCGGAGGGATTGTCAACTGGAGAACTCCATGGGGATGGATGATGGATGAACTTGGTGTCCCGTCAAAAGGCTTTTGCGGCGTATGAGTCGCATTTCTTTTGAGTCACCCCAAAAAAGGGGGGTAGCATCTCCAGCAAGCACAGCACCCCAACAGGTGTGTCCTGGACGGGTTTGGCCCTAGTCGAAACAGCCACATTGGCCCCTTGGAACTATTGGGACACTTGAAGCGCCCTGCCCAGTGCTCGTTGAATGCGCATTCCCAACTCAGCGCGTTCCACCCTCACCGAGGCTTCCACTGTGCGTGGAGTCGGCCAACCAACGAGGCTTCCACTTCTTTTGCTGCTGTTTGTGTCACGGGGCAACTTGCCGAGTTGAGGAGACCCTGACCGATGGATGGGATTCTTCGGGTCGAGGGGGAGGGAGGGACGAGGGACGGCGCCGCGCGGTTTCGTGGATCACAGCTGCAAGCCAGAGTTGATGAGCGGGGAGCCATGGCCATAGAAGGAGGCTACAGCAAGGGGGAGATAACGAAGCACGAGGAGATGTGCCGCGGGGGGCACGGGTGCGTGGGCGTGCGTGGGTGGGTGGGTGGGTGGGTGGGTGGGTGGGTGGGTAGGTGGGAGGGTGGGTGGGTGGGTGGGTGGGTGGGTGGGTGGGTGGGTGGGTGGGTGGGTGGGTGGGTGGGTGGGTGGGTGGGTGGGTGGGTGGGGTGAGTGAGTGGGTGGGTGGGTGGGTGGGGTGAGTGAGTGGGTGGGTGTCTGCATGCATGCTTGCATGCTTGCTCGCTTACTCGCTTACTCGCTTGCTCGCTTGCTGGCTTTCTCGCTTGCTTGCTTGTTGCTTTTGTTTCTTTGTTTCTTGGTTTCTTTGTTTGTTTTTGCTTGCTTGCTGGTTTGCTTGGTTGCTTGTTTGCTTGTTTGCTTGCTTGCTTGTTGCTTTTGTTTCTTTGTTTCTTGGTTTCTTTGTGTTTTTTGCTTGCTTGCTGGTTTGCTTGTTTGCTTGATTGCTTGATTGCTTGTTTGCGTGTTTGCGTGTTTGGGTGCTTGTGTGCGTGTGTGCGTGTGGTGTGTGTGTGTGTGTGTGTGTGTCGACATCAAATGAGCAAACAGAGGTTCACCCCCTCCCCCCCATTTGTTGCACAAGAGCAAAAGGGCCCTTTGATTGAACCACGGTGAATCATCCTGCAGCTTTTCTGATTTGGAGACATAGGGGTAGTCATAGTAGCCTAACAGTTACTATTAGTGCTTGGTGCCTGTTTATGACAACTTGGGGCCATTGAGAACCGTAAAGCTGACTGTCTTAAAAAAAAGGCTTGGTGTTTAAGGAAAGCCAAGCTGAAAGTAATCGTTTGCTTTCATGCCCTAGTTTGCAAAGCATCCATAATATATATATATATATACGTATATATATATACATATCTATTCATAAACTCTTTTGTTCGCTCTGCGCTGTACATTTGCGAATGATTGTAGCTCAATCGGAGTTCAATTGTGCCGAAGCCGCCGTGTCGATTCCTGCTCTGAGTATGGCCAAAATGGCGCCAGGAGGTGACAAGCATTGGTACAGGCACCAAGCGCATCAGGCCGGGGTTCGTTTGCGGGAGAGATGCCCTCCCTGGATTTGCATGTGCTTCTTTGCGACAGGCTCATGGAATGCACACGTGCAAGCTTTTGTTAACGCCACTTGGCTTGTTTGCCTGTTGGGTCTGCGGTTTTGTTCTTCGGGCACCTTCCCCACTCCTGCGCGAGAAGCCAAAATCTGTTGGTTTTGCGTTTTGGCTGTTGCTTCCGGCTAATCTCTGCAAGTGGCGGTCTTTCCGCCGTTGATTTCACAGGTTGCAGGCAGGTCAGGCCGACCATCAGCTGCGCTTGAGCCACTTGCAGGGCTCTAGCAACTCTGTAGGCCCGCTGGCTGAGCGTAGAGTGCCCCTTATTTCAGGTTGGTGACTTCTCCCTGTTGCCCAGTGGTGCCCTTTCTTCCTTTTTTTTTTGGGAAGGGTTTCCCTTTAAAGTCAACCAACCCAAAAAGGATGCCCTTTAATTTCCCCTGGAAATTCACTGGGCATCTGAGTTCTTATTGCCATAAATCGCCCAGCTTCGCAAGGAAGCTTCTTGTCCACGCTCGTTCCGGCGAGTCTCGTGCCATAGCCCATGGGGCCCTTGTCGCCAGCCGCAAATTCCGCTTTGCTCCGGGTCTGGGGCTTGTGTTGGCAGCGACAAATGCCAACTCTAAGTGGTTGCCGTTCTTGGTAAGCAGCACAGGCGAGGGATGAAAAGGTTGGGCTAAGGTGCTGAACTGCAGGCTCATCAGACAATGTTGACCCCGGATTTTCTTAACCCCTGTTTATCTATATGTCAATATGGGGGGGGTTCCCCTCCAAAAGTGGCCTGAATCCCCACTAAAACCAGAAAGGGGACGAGTTGGTTCATTTCCTTTGGGACGACTTGTGTTCCGCTTCAAAAGCTCGGCTCCGCTTCAGGGGCGTCCATGGGTTCGGGGGTGAATCGGCGAGCTCTCACCGATTCGGGGAACCGATCTCACGCGTGAGAACAATCCCTTACTTGGGGATTCCCGACTTCTGGTCTGGTGAAGAGCAAGTTGCCCAGATGGGTGTTTTTTCAGAGTATCCCAAACTGCGGTTGCCTTTTGGTTTCCTGATAAAACCACACAAAAAACGGGGTGTACCTTACGAAAAGGAGACACACCCCGATGAATTTGAAACCTTTTGGTTTCCTGATAAAACCCCCCAATAAAGGTGTACCTTGCAAAAAGACACCCAGATGAGCTTGAAAAAGCGGCAGGTCGAAGTATACGGTGAACCCGAGCTACACGCCGGTGGCCGACTGCTTCTGCGTGCGCTTCTCGCCGGACGACCAGTACTTAGCCACTTCTTTTGCCAATGGCGCCATCCACGTGTACAGTGCGGAGACAGGAGAGGGGAGGGGAGGGGAGCTTGGATTGGGTGTGTGGGGGGGGGGGGTTACGGATCTTTAGACTTTAGCTTTTTGGGTGAAATAAGGCGGTTTTTCATTAAACCCCCAAAAAGTTAAAAACCACTTTTTGCAGGGGGGTCAACAGCAACCAAGGAAGGGGATAAGAGGTTGGATTGGGTATGTGAGGAGCGGGGGGTTCATGGATATTCTATTTAGGGCCCCCCCAGTTTTGAGCATGGGGCCAACTTTTCCCATTTAGTGGGGGAAGTTATAATTGTTGTGTGGTTTCCCTGATGATCATCCATGCAAGGACCTCTTGATCAACCCCCATTTGTCAACATAGGGAACCTGCAACATGGTTTGGGTTTTCCTTTTAAGTTCCCACTCAGCCAACCTGGACAAGGGGGCCTTCAAACAAACACATTTTTCGCAGCGCCCCAATCCGATTGACTTTGAATCTTCTAAACTGGTTGTATAAGACTAGTTAGACCCCCCCATGAAACCCGGCAGGAACCAAACCTACCAAACTGGGCAACGGGATTCGGTTTTCACTAAAAAGGTGATGCGAACACACCGAAAAGGGGCAGCAACCAGGAACAACCTACTAAATTGGGGGGGGGCCTTGGTTTGGGCAGTGGCAGATGCTGACCACCAAAACTATCCTAAACCTACCTAGAAGCCACCGAAATAAAGCCCACCAGCACACCTAAAGCCAACCAACAACTACCTAAAAACCATCTAAAGCCAACCAAACATCGCTGAAGAGGCACCAACACCACCAACAAAAATAAGTAAAAAAGCAAAAAACGGGGGGGGGGAACACCTGGGAGTCGCAGGACGCCAAGAGTTCCTGCTGAATAGCTCCCCGCCGGCCACGGACATCGCCTCGCAGCCGCTGCCCACCACGCAGCGGAGCTGCATGTGGCGGTTTGAGCGGAACGGTCGCCTTTTCTTTGGTGCATTTTGCTTGGATTTAGGAGCAGAACTAATGGGTTTTCCGAACTAAACCACTAAAAGTCTAAAAGTCAAACTATTAGCAGGGGAGCAGAAAGCAACCGAGCTTTTTTGTGGCTACCTTGGGGCGTTAGCAAGGTCCCTGTCAAAGGGGTTTGGGGGGGGAGGTACCCCTTCAAATGTTAGACAGATTGAGCGAAAGGGTTCTCAAGGTTTGGTCGGTGGGAGGTGGGGTGTGGGATGTGGGGCGTGGGGGGCGGGGTGGCGGGGGTTGGTTTG